AGGCTCCCCTGAACACCGCCGACACTCCAGCGCCCTCAGAGGCACCCCCCCAGCCCTGACAGACCCCTGCGCAAACGCGTCAACTGCGTTCAGGGGCGTTCATTGAACGCGCATTCACAGCGTTCAAAAACTGAACGCCAAACGCGCGTTCAATGAACGCGCGGTAACATAGTCATAGGGTCGGGCGAAAACTGCACGACCAATTTGGGCGGATGTCATCCCRAAACTGCACCGTCGTATGGTCAGCTGTCGTGTCGAAGCTGGACCATCTGGTGGTCGGGTGTCCGTGCCTATCCGTGCGACGGKCAGGTGTCGCACCGAAGTCGGAGTTCAAATTTGCCGGTCGTCRGGCGTCGWGCCAATGCACGACCATTGGATAGTCGSGTGTCRYGGSSAAGCTGGACCATCGTATTGTCGGGTGTCCATGTCTGCCACAACCYTGTGATGGACACACGTCGTGCGAAAAGCGGACGACCAATTGATCGGTTGCTGAAACATGGGTTGCTGAAAYATGGTTGCTGAAACATGGGTTCCTGCCATTCCGAATATGATTGTCGGTTGCTTACTCCTTCCTTTATATCGTTTACAACTGCCTTGTAGAAACTATGCACAGTCCGTTYCACCAGYGTGAGAAAGRGGAGTGTCCTCACGGGTCACAACCATYYATGSCWGGCTTGAGYGATGTTGTTGTTTTCGTAACTCGTAGTAAGTTCCACGTCGTTGGCCGCCGATGGAAGGTTRGACATTATGCCACCCAAAGAGCAGATAGTCGAGCACATCGAATGGCATGAGGTYGAAACAAAGACMACAATTATCAGAGATTGTATTGGAAAGTCGTTGTACGAAAGACTTAGKGMSGTTTTRTCAGAATGAAATACATCTTAGCGTTTTCAAAACACGCAACCGGGGAAACACCTGAGGTGCTCACGTTCGGTTTATCTTTGTCTTGTTTATACGGGTTSGGTGGGAGGGCTMGTCCGTGAGAAGTTTTTTGCATTCCGAAATGAGAATGGATGACAAAGGTCTCGGACATCAGGCGAGTGTGTTTTGCGGAGCTGGTCCATCGGATGGTTGGGTGGTTTGCCTAAGTCGGGGYGTYTGATGGACCTTGTCAAGGTCCCTCCCTGCGTGGACCATCTGGAGGCCAGATGTTGYGGCAAAGCTGGACCGTTTGGTGGTCGGGTGTCCTTCCCTATCTAGATTGTGCGATGGTAAGGTGTCACKYYGTAGCCGRAGCATCACATGGTTAGTGGGAAACGTGGTGGAAATGCAATGTGCATYAGATAGTCRGGTGTCRTGGCGAAGYTGGACCGTCATATTGTCGGGTKTCCGTGCCTGCCAAAACTCTGYGATGGTCGGGCATCGGGCGAAAACTGCACGACCAATTTGGGCGGATGTCATCYCAAAGCTGCTCCGTCGTAYGGTCASGCGTCGTGTTGAAGCTGGACCATCTGGCGGTCAGGTGTCCGTGTCTGTCCTTGCRACKGWCAGATGTCGCACCGCACCGAAACCGGAGTTTCAATTTGCCAGTCGTCGGGTGTCGTGCCAATGCACGACCATTAGATAGTCGGGTGTCGTGCCGAAGCTGGRCCATCGTATTGTCGGGTGTCCGTGCCTGCCACAAYCCTGTGATGGTCAAGCGTCGTGCRAAAATCGGATGATCCTATGGTCAGGTGTCGTGTCGAAGCTRGACCATCAGAAGGTCGGTGTTGTTTATAAACTATGTCGTCWKATGGTCGGGCGTCGTGGCGGGGCTTGGCCGAACARAAGTTTSTATCGTGCCGAATATGATTGTCGGTTGCTTACTCCTTCCTTGGTATCRTTAACAACTGCCTTGCAAAAACTATGCACACTCYGTTCCGCCACAATGAGAAAGGGAGTTGTCCTYATGGGTYGCAACCATYTGTTCAATGYCTGAGGAATTTCACGACACCTCAGCCTGTCTCCAGCGACGAGAGCAGATCCCCTTYATTGMGTGGAYRTCRTTGTACGAGCAGATCATCGCCACTGTCCATACGAAGTCCTCGTAAAAAGCAACAGCTGCTTGGAGGCTGTGTTCACCCATCCAACACTGTAGTCCGACGATTGAACCTCGACGACATTATTCAAGAGGTCCGTCAAGCCCACGCTGCTCTGCCTCGGGATGGACTTTGTGCACAACGTGCAATGCAAGCCATCAACAAGCCGGATGGTGGTGATGAAGATGACGGCGTCATGGGCGATCAGAACAAACAAGATGCCGAATTCTGTGGTGTTCTTCCGGATAACAATACTAAGAGTGTAATGGGAAGAGGATGTGAGTCGATGTCCTTGTTGACCGATTTAGGGTCTGAGAGAGGCCAAAGGGCATACACATATCGGAAGAGGAAGATAAGAAGTGACACATTAGAAGAATCGTTGGACAGGAAATGCACCATGGAGGAATGCAGTGCGGTGCTGAAGAAAAAGTGTTGTACGAAATTGCAATGTTGTTCGAAGATGACAGTAGACGAGGTATATAGGRCRAAAATAAGATATAGGTCGYCGACACCGGTGGAGAGGCRGAAGTGGTGGATAAAACAACTAGATAGTTTYACGTGTATTGAAAATCAGAAGGCAGTGGTAAGACCAGTCGTAGAAAAACATAGAGTATGTGTCCAAGCCTGGTGTTACATAATTGTTTTTTCCAGAAACACGTACGCAWTYTATAACGATTTGTATGAAGACGGYASGATGCTGCCTATTCATGGTAGGAAAGGACATTCTACGACATCTGYCGCTCACGCCATGGCTTTCAAAACATTTCAGACAATGATCATSKAGAAGGGTGAYGGGATGCCTGACCAGACASACATGAGCAAAGACTACGAGATAAGACCACGGGTCAAACTGCCTCCGACATATGCAACAAAAAAAGACRTCTATGAGAGCATCAAACGACGACTGCAGAMGCAGGACATAGACTGTTGCTCTTTGYAAGTCTTCGGAAGTCTGTGGCGTGATTTCTTCTGGCATGTTCACCTTGCTAGATCGACAGATTACGCTAGATGCAATTACTGCACAAAACAAAMAGACCTGATTGAAGGGGCCAAGCTCGACGCAAGACGTWGTCTTGTTGCAAAACTAAATCGGCATAGACTGTTGCAGGAGGCGCATCGGAAGCACTATGACATATGGTCGGCCGAATCTRGGTTSATGAGAKAAAAAARTTTGTGCATCATAATTGATGGTATGGACCAAGCAAAAACTTTGATTCCTCACACAGCCAGGAACCGCACATCAAAGGCAATGGACAACCTCACAAGCATTCTCGTGCATGGGAGGAGTTCACACATTCTTGTGCACACATGGTTTCCTGTGTATCCACATGGTCCAGATTCGATTGTGGCATCGATCGCGAAGGATTGTGCCATCGATCGCGAAGGTGTTGAGGAACGTGCAGCGGCAATCGGGAGTGTTGCCTCCTGTTTTCAGACTTCAAGCGGACAATTGCAGTAGTCAAAACAAAAACAGATATGTGTTCGCGTACCTAGCATTATTGGTAAAGTTCCGCATTTTCGAGGTTATCGAAATGGGATTTATGATAGTAGGTCACACACATACGGGCATCGATGCAAAGTTCAGCCTGTTTGCTAGAAAACTAGCGGACACAGATGCTTACACGATGGACGAGTTGTTCGCTGCACTACGAAATTCTACAAAGGATAAGGTCGCTTGCACATTTATCAATGAGATGGCGGATTGGAAAGGTGCAATCAAAGACTTTCTGGATAAGCGTATTGGTGGCCACTCCACTCCACACCTGTTTAAGTTCTGTAAAGACGGAGAGAACCCAGCGATGGTCTACAAAGAACATTGCAATGACAGTGAGTGGTTGCCGGAGGGCGGAGCAATTTATTGGTTCAAGCGGGATGMACAAGGGAGATGGGTGGGACCGTCATTTCCGTTAGAACCATGTAGCTTGAAGTTGAACTTGGACAATGGAGACTTTATCAAAGGTCACCAAGGTGTGAGTGCTTTGKTCAAGKARTGGAAAGACGAGCGACCAGAATTTGAGAAACATGAGGATTGGAAACGTYWGCTGAAAACAAGCCGCTTGGAGTACTGGGARAAAGAGTTAGATATTTTCAATAAGTTGAAACTGGAGAAAAACTCGGAACCCATTCCTCTGTCAACTCCWTTCTGGMCATCACCTATGACGGAARRYATAGAAGAGGTGAAGGTGGAACTTCCCGTTGTTGATTCGCCSCCGAGGAAGCAATGKTTCKTGGGTTATAAGAGCGATGCCCCARAACYGGAATTCGACCCRGCAAAGCATGTTGCTATCGGTTGTTTTGTAGTGATGTCGCTCCAGACGAGAATGTAGAGGAAGGAGTTRGTTTTTGGGTAGGGCGTGTACGAGAGATATCACAGGACTYGGAGAAAATTATCGTGCAGTATTGGAGACCACAAGGCAAARAGACCGATATGTATAAGTTGTACGAAGACRCRTGGAACAAAACATGGCGAGTTGAGAACGAAGCTTCGCATGGATGGCAAAAYATAACATGTGTGGCATGGGGATGGAAAAG